CAGTGAGAGCGAAGATAAAGCTTTAAAGTCTGCTGCAGGTACACAGACACGAAGCTTCAAAACTATCCTCTGATATAAAACAAAAAAGTGCATTTAGTTATTAGTGCGTGAGCATTTAGGGCAGATTAATGATTAGTTTGTTTTTATGCCTAGTAGGGCTGGGCAGTAATTCAGTAATGTTAAGTACCTATCGATAGATGTGTGATATAAAATAGAGTCAATAACATTTTTTTTCATTACATTATGTAACTTCATACAAGAGATCACTTATTCCAAACTAATCAAAAACACAGACCCAGGCATGCTCTGTCACCAAGTCCTTCCCCCTCAAAGCAGTATGCGCAGAACAAGCTAGCTTTAAAACACGATCACGCCAATTTCACCCTTCCTGTTGGTTATCATACCCGGGCCATGATACCTGATACCAGAACCTACATTGCTACAGTAAACAAAAGAGAGCTAAACACCAGTCGCTATATTCTAGGTCCAAAAGTCTTCTGTTTTCCGTGACTTCAAATGGTGATTTTCTTTTTGGGACTCTGGTAGTTTGTCCTAAAGCGGAAGTGGTAGCAGCCGGCTCTTTCTCCTTCTCTGATGTTATTGAGCGGAGAACCTCTCACACCAGCGGTGTTCTGTTGCTGAATGGGTGAGAGTGTAATGAGTGGAGGACCCAGGGAAGTGTGGCGGTTCAGTGACACCGATGACTGGATGGTCCAATAGTTGGTTTTAGATCAAGCCGTGTTATTGGCTGAGACGTTTAGACAAATGTGAGAGAACCACTTTATTGTTTTTATAATTTTTTTGATCTCCACAAAATGTTTATAACCATGCAGGGGACAGCAGTAGCCCAGGAGGTATAGCGGGTTGTCTAGTAATCGGAAGGTTGCAGGTTTGATTCCGGCACCGACCAGAGAATGCTGCTGTTGTGTCCTTGGACAAGACACTTAACAATTTACTATGTTGGAATGTTGTTAAGAGGCATACAAATGATTGATGCTAATTAGTTTAGCAGATTTTCTATTGTAGTTTTAAACATTGCAGCAATAAGAGGCAGAAGAAACTGTTCCGATAAAAGGTTACAGTTAGTTCACCAGCATGGCAATATTTAGATTTTTACAAGTCTGACAAAGAACAAACAACCGTTGTTTGTAAAATTCTCAGATAACTGATAAAAACTAAATCTGCTAACACAACCAACTTGGATGCATCCTAAGGTGAACGATGTGGCAATGTGGGTTCTGGTATCAGGGGAGACATGGCCAGCGCCATGTCTCCACACAATCAGTCAGTCCTGATGAAAATCTCACCACGACTCTTGAGAACTTTACTACTCTGGAAAACTGCTGTAAAAGACTCATGGAAGCTATTTCTATCGGAGCATGTTCTCCATCAATGAGTCTGTCTTCAGGTTTGTCCTTTTAGTTCTACAATGTTGTACGTTTCAAAAATCTGTTAATTTTTAGGTAATAAATACAAATGTGTGGGATACAAGTTTGGGGGACCTCTAAACCAGGAGCTAAGTTCTTGTTCTCTGAATAAAGAGGTGGTGTGGCATTCCATTCAATTCTTGTCCTTTTGTTTATTCCCACATTTTCCCATTCCCTGTAAAGAAATTCACACGTGCTCTGTCTCACCAGAAGGTTTATGATTCTAGAGGAGCTATTGGTTTGTAAATTTTTCATATCCTCTAAATGTTAATCCAACCCTCTCTGTACTGGTTCAAACTGGTATTGATCTCCTCATTTAGCTGTTGAAGAGAAAGCAAACAACTTGTGCCTCAGTGTCAGGGCAACAGCTGCCTTCAGCAGGACAGCAAACAGCCATGAATACATGTTGTTTGGCTTGAATTAATCAGACGGAAAATGAAATAAAAACTTCACTTAAAGTAAATGCGGCTTTTTGTGCCTGACAACAAAATGTTCCCAGCTCCTCATCTACAAACGTCAAGCCTTAAAAGTAGCTGTAATTTATATTTATTCATTTATTTATTTATCTATCTATTTATTAATTTTAATTTTATTTTATTGATTTTATTTTATTTTATTTTATCACAGCACAGCAGAGGAATACTTTGGCACACCTACTTTGTCACAGCCCAATTAAAAAAGGATGGATCAGATTTACGCTGAGTCATCAATCACATTTAGACTGAAGCTGTTTCGATGTGATCCGTGTCACAGATCTGAGCTTCGTCTGGAATGTGAAATGGTTTCTAACGCATTAAATCAAACTGGTCATGAAGCTGAGAGGAAGTCATGAAGGGCAGGTTGGTCAACGTCTCTCTGATTATTGAGGTTTGGTGCTGGATGTGAACCGAAGGGCAGCAGCCTGGTCTGTGTGGCTCCATGGTGACCATGGAGATTCAGCAGAAACGACTCTTCATTCTGTCTGTTAGTCCCAGAACCTTTTATTTACAGTTTGTCACCAGGATGGAAAAAGTTCTGTAAAGCGATTCAAATCAACTCCTTTCAAAGTGCTTAAGTCATCAATCAATCAACCAATCAATCAATCAATCAATCAAACTTTATTTATATATGATAAATGATAAATGACCCGCACTTGTATAGCGCCTCTCAGAGTAGTGACTCCAAAGCGTGTTACACTTCAGTGTATCATTCATCCATTCACACACACATTCACACACTGGTGGGGATGAGCTACGATGTAGCCACAGCTGCCCTGGGGCGTGCTGACATATATAGAACTGATATAGATAGCACTTACTCCTACAATACATGCAACTCAAAGTGCTTAACAAGTTAAAAAGGCCCCACATTCCCTCCCAAGAATTTTAAAAACTGTCTGACAATAACAACCCCTTCACAACACTCATCCTCCAGCACACACGCACGCGCACGCATGCGCACGCACGCACACACACACACACACACACACACACACACACACACACACACACACACGCATATACACACGCACACATACACATGCATACATGCCCCCTTCCCCATGGTAAAAAACATTAGTGGCTGAGATCAGATGAGCCAGACCAGCTAAGATAAGGTTAAGGAAACACCATCAGGGGAGCCATCCGCCCCGATAGCAGCAGATCCACAGCAGCAGCCGAGGCACTGACACAGGGTGCCCAGCGCAGGGAAGGCAGAGACCCCACCCCCCACCCCACCACCACCCAGGCACACATGGAAAGCACCCAGGCCGCCACAGCCGATCACCGCCACCGGGGCAGAGGGCTCCCACAGAGGACGCACTGGAAAAAGGTCAAATTAAGGTTAAAATATAAAATCCAAAGAGCTAAAATGAGAATTGTAATATAAAAAGTTATATAGATATTAAAATGATGTTGATCATAAATCATGGTAAAAAACGTGTTTGAAAAGCACGTATAAAGAAAGAATACATTAAATAAATAAAATAAATAGATAAAATAAATAAACTAAGTAATTAGTTAATTTAAAAAGTGATAGTATTCAGTTCAAAGCTAAGCTAAAAAGATGAGTCTTGAGCCTGTTTCTAAAAGCATGAATGTTCTCAGCAGCCCTGAGGCCCCCTGGCAGCTCGTTCCAGAGGAGAGGACCGTAGTACTGGAAGGACGCCTCACCGTGAATATGTGTCCTGACTTTAGACATGGCAAGGAGACGGCTCATCCTTTCATAGTTTTGTCATAGTTACACCTGTTTTAAAGTAAGTAAAATGTGTTCCTTTGTGACAGAATAACAAGACCAGAAGATGAGAAACAGACAGAAACTGTCAAAGAAAGAAAACAAGCAGATGATTTAAAAGAAAGATTAAAAAGTCAACTGAAGGTGCGAGATTACTCATAGATTATTACTTTTATAAAAAACTATAATGTTGTGGATATAAGGGTTACAATTTGTGTGACACCAACAGTTTACAACACTTGCAGGCCACAAAGATTTGATTCCTTTTTTTTTACATTTACATTAAATGTGCCATATTTTAAATGTGAAACATACATTGAGTATCAGAAGCCAATAAATTCAACAATTTTTCCTCTCAAATGAAAGTTTCAGCACCTCACACACCTGACCTTCATCTGTTAATCACTCCAGGAACCACCTCTCCCTGTATGACTAACCCTGAGGCCTAGTCCACACGTAGCCGGGGTTTTTTTAAACGAATATCCGCCCCTCCAAAAACTTGCATCCACACCACCTCGTTTTAAAAAAAAAACTCTGTCCACACGTACCCGGATAAATACGTTGTTAAGGACATGCCAGACCTGTAGGCGGCAGTACTTCCCCCGTTCTTAACCTCGTCCTTCGTCTGTGGTCTTCCGCAAGGAGCAGTAATTCCTCTTGCAAAAACAAACAAGCAAAAAGCGCTTGGACAATTGATAAAGCGAGCGCAGCTCTGAGGGCATCCATGCTGTCGGCTAGTGTAAACACAGGTCGCACACGTGATGTCAGCATTTTTTGTCGCGGAAAGTGACGTTGCGGACCTTAAAACTCTGGTTTTGTCCGTCCACATGCAGACACCCAAAACGGAGAAAACGCAGATCTTCACTTTGGCCGGAGTTTTTAAAAAGATCCGTTTTCGTGTGGATGACAGGCCAAAACGTAGAAAAATATCTACGTTTTGGCAGATCCCCGGCTACGTGTGGACAGGGCCTCAGTTTCCTCATGGCCTTCCTAGTCTCCTCTCTTCCTCTCTTCTCCTTTCCTCTTCTCTTCCCTTCTCTTCTCCCCCCACTTTCCCTCCTCTGCTCTCTTATCTCTACTCTTCCCCCCCCCACCCCCCCCCGCTTTATTAGCTCCATATTTTTTTATTTTACACCCTTTTACTTTTTATATTAAGCCTTTAACATCCACTCTCTACCTCCCACTCAGCACTGTGGTTGTTTTAGAGAGAGCACGACAAGAACAATTCAGATCCATCAAGTGTTAAAGAACTCTTGCCCACACAAACACCACCGGGCTCAGATTGTAGAACACCCTTCTGACAACATGTCACACCAGCATTTCCTCCTCCTGTCCGACTTTACTGTTTTGTATGTCAGTTACCTCCAGAGTGCGGAGGAGGTCCACACAGCAGAACCACTCCTTGACCCTCGCGGACAGAAACAGAACTTCTTCTCTGAGTCTTGAAGTTTTCCAAGTCTGAAAGGTGAGAGAAGGAAAAGCAGCAGTTGAGTGAACATGTCTCACAGCCCGGGGTCAAAACACACGATCTCTGAAGTAAAATGTTTCATAAAAAGTTTGTTAACCTCCCAAAAGTCTGTCATACGTGCACAAACACTCACGCTAGGTCCCCACAGCTGACACAGATGAACACTAACGACTGTGGTGCAAAACGGTTTTCTTGTCTTTACTTTTCGTTTTGAATGCTGGAGCCGTTGCTGCTTTACTTAACCAGAGAGAACTCATGGACTTCAGCCAGTGAACACACAGGCCGTGTTCGAGTTGAGCAGCGCCTCGCCTGGAAACCAGACGAGAGCAGACGGAAGCAGCGGGGGGAGTGGCTGAAAGCCGGCGTTAAAGTCGGACAGATTTCCCTACATGTGTAGCTCGCGGTTGACGATGGCTGACGATATCGCGTTAGAGTTCACACTTGTTCAATTTTCAGTTTTAATTCTGGTGCCTGTTAGCAGCTGAAACACATCCTCACGTGCTTGTGGATATCATATATTGTATATGAAGATGTGACTGTAATAATAAGTAATAATAATAAGTAATAAGTAATGAGCTCATAGGAAACGTGACAAAGGAACACAAAACACATTTCACTTTATGGCCTATATAGTTGTCATCATCAACGTAACATGATTCACAGAATACATGTGACCAACTAACATTTCATGTTCTACCACCGGATGTTTGGATCAAAATATGAACCAATCAGATCTTAGATCAGGTGAGAGCCAGGCGTTTCCCATCATCCTCTAGGTTTTGCAGCTGGTGGAGAGCAACTGCAGCGCCTTGCTCCAAAATCTGCGGCCGCCTTGATCTCACGAGGTTGTCGTTGCCTACGTATGCATGACGTCAGAGCAAGTCGGCGTCAAGTCGGACACAAATCTAACCAGCAATGCACTGCTCGCCGATCACTGCTGGTCTAATCTGCGCAGAACTGGCTCATCTCGAACACGGCCATAAATCCAAATACAGAGGTGGGAAATGTAGTTTCTGTGGTCATAAAGTGAACATGGGCTGCATGGTGGCGCAGCGGTTAGCACTGTTGCCTCGCAGCACAAAGGTCGCGGGTTCGAAACTCGGCTGCGGCCTTTCTGCGTGGAGTTGCGTGTTCTCCCCATGCATGCGTGGGTTTCCTCCGGGTACTCCGGTTTCCCCCACAGATCACAACCACCCTATAGGTTATAAATTGTAAGTCACTTTGGATGAAAGTGTCTGCCAAATAAATAAACATAAACATTTCCCAGAGAGAGAGAGAAGAACGTTGGAAGTCTTGTGTTGAAGCAAATTTTGAAATGTTGATTTTTAATGATAGTTGATGTTACCAACTGTCTCATCATTCATTTATTCATCCATTTACTCACATATTCCTGTGCAGGGTCACAGGGAAACTGTGTCTCCAATGAAATATTTCCAAATGTATAAAAAAGTATGGAAAGCCAAGGACAGATTTAATTGGACTCAGCTTGTCCTTGTTCCATGGCTGGTGTGGAACAGGAGGACTCAAATGCAGGTAAACAGGTGATTCAACTTTAGCTTTTCATGTTTCAAACCAAAAATAGAAAATCTCAGAAAGAGAACTCAGCAGGTTGATGAAACTTAACCAAAAGCAGCTGCTTACCAAACTTATAAAGTTATTCTAAAAGAGGTTTATGCAGTACGGGATGGTCGTTGTGTTACTTTGGTCTCCATATGGCCTAAATAATAAAGAAGGGTCAAAGTTCAACAGAATAAAATATTATGGAAGAAACCACATTCCTCGGTAGGGGCAGCAGGGTGGATGCATTTTGGGTTCGTGAGACAATAAACTATATTTGAAGTTAAAATAATTTTAAAGTCTTTGTCATGAGTCTGAAGCATAAAATAAGACATGTTAAACATTAAAGTTCAAAATTAAATCCACTTTAAGATTCATTCCTTAGAAAACCAATCATTTTTATGTTAACCCTCCACTTGGGCCCTGTCCACACGTAGCCGGGGATCTGCCAAAACGTAGATATTTTTCTACGTTTAGGCCTGTCATCCACACGAAAACGGAGTTTTTAAAGAACTCCGGCCAAAGTGAAGATCTGCGTTTTCTCCGTTTTGGGTGTCTGCGTGTGGACGGACAAAACCGGAGTTTTAAGGTCCGCAACGTCACTTTCCGCGACAAAAAATGCTGACATCACGTGTGCGACCTGTGATTACACTAGCCGACAGCATGGAAGCCCTCAGAGCTGCGCTCGCTTTATCAATTGTCCAAGCGCTTTTTGCTTGTTTGTTTTTGCAAGCGGAATTACTGCTCCTTGCGGAAGACCACAGACGAAGGACGAGGTTAAGAACGGGGGAAGTACTGCCGCCTACAGGTCTGGCTTGTCCTTAACAACGTATTTATCCGGGTACGTGTGGACAGAGTTTTTTTAAACGAGGTGGTGTGGATGCAAGTTTTTGGAGGGGCGGATATTCGTTTTTTAAAAAACCCGGCTACGTGTGGACTAGGCCTATAGTGGATTTGTCTCAGAACATTTGTAGAAAGCCGCAGTATTACGTATTTTTGTGCCGTTTTCCTGTTTTTCCTCCGTCTGATTTGTGAATAGCAGATATTTCTGGGTTCTGGTGCTAACACGTGAAATGCCATGACCGTCGTCTCCTCCTGCTGCAGAGGAGGCGCTTGTGATGAGATGATGTAATTAAAAGAGTCTGAGTGGAACCTCACTTTGATGCTTTTGTTTTTCCGCCTCATTTAAAGCTGAAGAGCTCTGGCCCATTTACCTCACAATGCCTGGGTTTCGACAATATGAGCACAAATTAAAAATGCAGATTAAAGCAGGTGGACAGAAACGTGCCTGCGGCGTCTGTTTCAGACTGGCCCACGGACGCCACCCTGCCTTGTCTGGGTGCTGCATATGAAACCATTCCCTGTGTTTTATTGTAGAGCTGCAGCTAACACAGTCCACAGAATGTGACAATTACGTGGAGGGAAACATCTCAGAAGAAAGAACAAAATGAACGAGGACGAAAAGCCGCCTCGTGCACCCCAGAATGCATGAACGATAAATCCAGGCTCAGCAGGAGCTAAACACATCGAAAAAAACAACAACATGGAAATCAATAGTGACACACACCCACTAATATGAGCCAAACAGCAATCTGTTGCTGCTCTGCTAAGCGGAGGGCTGCTGTAGCAAGTCACACATGAGAGATTTTAATAGCTCTGCTGGTAATCAGGTTACCTTTCATTCATCACGCCCACCAGCACCGAACGTTACACAGCTACCGCTGAAGCAGGTCGGAGCCAAGCGTGCACTTTAACTGAGCTCATTTTCTTTAGACAATTGATGGAAACAATGGCAGCTCCAAACCACTTCCAGCAAGCGACTAAAGCGATGGGAGGACTGCTCATTCAATCTGATCACCCGTGAAGGAATAACTCAGCCATTTTTAAAGGTCTCCCTCACTGAAAACTCCTATAGTACCTGTTCTTCTTGAACTATGATAGGTGACGCTGAGATTCACATGCAGGCTGCACACGAACATCGCCTCAGCCCTTGTTTGCGTTAGCCGCTCAGATAAAGGGTCGGTTTTTTTCCCGCCTAGAGCAGCAATCTTCTAGCATCAAAAATTACACTCAACCCTGGTTTAACGTAGTCTTCATTTGTAAATTGAAAGAGAAAAACAAATGTTATGGCAGCAAAGCCTTGGTTATGGTCATACTAGCTGTTAGCTTATCAGTCCTGAAGGATGTTACCATTATTAGTTTGAACTGAAGCTATTCTAAAAAAGATTAAAAAAAAGATAACAGATTGGCTTGTTTAGTGGTTTTTTTCATGTAATAATGCCCTTTTTAAAAACAATAATAATTTTAATTACTTTCGTGTGTGTGGTAGCTGCAAATCTGATGTTTTATTTTGGAATAAAAGGCAATGTGTGAAGGTAGGCGAGTCACGCTCTGATTTATCCATACATTTTCTCCAGTTTGGGTTAATTAACTTCAGTTAACCTCGCTCCACTGAGTCCTGCGAGTTGTCAAGCCCGTACGAGCGGCGGCGCGAGTAGCAAGCTCGCTCTTTTATGACCCAAACGTCACAAAACTGCCAGCAATCCACTTTCAAACACGATTACTGATGACTTCAGTTCAGAGTGATCTCAATGTAAAAATGTTGGGCTCACTGATTAATGAAGAGGATCATAAGGTCAGAATAAATGTGTCATGTTGTGCCCAGAAAAAGCCCGACAGGAGCTAGTCTTTAATCATTTTTAAACATCAATTAGTTCGCCACAAGCCCAGTTCAGATCATAGTTAAACCAGAATAAGAAGAATAAATCATTTTATACAAGAATTTAAGTTCGAATGATGCATTGTGGATGAATTTGGATCTTTCTGCACCTAAGCAGCGAATATATCCATTTTTTATTTATGCCTATGTTTATGTTTATTTATTTGGCAGACACTTTTATCCAAAGCGACTTACAACGTATAACCTGTAGGGCATGTTGTGATCTGTGGGGGAAACCGGAGTACGCGGAGGAAACCCACGCATGCATGGGGAGAACACGCAGCTCCACGCAGAAAGGCTGCAGTCGAGTTTCGAACCTGCAACCTTCGTGCTGCGAGGCAACAGTGCTAACCACTGCTCCACCATGCAGCCCCAGAGGATTTTATTATCCTCTTAAAGTTCATTTACTCCTGTGAGAAGATTCAACATCTTATATGAAACAAAACAACATATAAGACAAAACTGACCCAGTAATCGAGGCGACCGTTCTCTAAAGCCACCAGTGCAGCAGCACATGCTGTGATGTCATTAGAAACCATTTGAGCAGGGCTTCAATTCACTTAACTTCCTGTATCTTTTTCAGGTGGAGATTTTTCTGATGTAAAAACATTAAAGTATAAAAAACTGAAATAATAAATAATAAAATAGAAAAGAGGAAGTGTTGAGATTAAAGTTAATGAATAGAGATAAAAAACCTCCTGATTAAAGTCAAAA